TTGACTTGTAATCTAATAAACTCATAAGGTTAAAGATTATTCTACATTTTCCTACACTTCACCTATTCCTATAAGAGCCCAGTTATAGAATCTGTACATTTTCACTGGCTATGATGATTTATAATGACTCGGTGACGTCTCCATACTTTAAAAACACAAATTTAAAACATTGAGTCGAAATTACACCTAATTAGCCATAACAATAAACATTAGAGTTACATTTTTTGAAGGAGTTGGTTCTTGTTTTGTTTAACTGGTGCAACGACATGCAAGTGATGCGATACATTCCCGTCGACATCACCTCCCTGATCTCTTGGTGGCTGTTAAATGCAGCAACAGACCAGCCAAAGTAGGAAAGAAGAAAACTGCAAGCAAGAATCTACACAATATGTTTTGCTTATTAACACTGAATGCAAACATAACTTGTAAAGAAAAGAGCTACTGACAGGTCTTCTTCAGGCTGTGCAACACCTGAGAAATGAGAACTAAAGAACATGACCTCAGCGGTACAGTAGATAACTGACCACATCAGAGTCTGCTGCTCTGCACAACCAAACATACTTTGCTCTACTGCTTTTGCAAAGTGACTGGCTGCTGTTGGATTGATTCAGGCTGTCAGGAAAAGCAAGTTGATTGCACTAAAACATTTAAAACCCTTTAGTGGGTTTATGAAAGCTTTTTACTGACAAGGTTGATAACAGTACAGGCTGTAAAGCAGTGACCTGAAACATACCCAAACACTTGAGTTGAAGGAAACAGCAGAGCTGGGTCATAATTGTGGGCGACCCGCTTCACAAATGGGAATCTGAGTCATTTTATGAATATATGGTTAAGTGCAGCTTTCACCTTTGGCCTGTTGGGGCTAACGAGTCATTCCAAGTCAAAGGCTTGAAGGGCAGGTTCACAGCCTTTTAAGTTTGTCTTTACTCAGTAATTCAGAGCTCATCTTAATAATAAAACAGGTTTACCTGCTGGTAATTATTCCCTCTGCTTATACTGGCTTTTAAGATGTCTTAATGTGTGTTCATTGTAATGAAAACAGAACCAATCCACAGCTCTTATTTAGAAAAAAATGTGTTCAAAAGCTCAGTTTTTTTTAAACTTGAAAGAAATTCCTTTTCGTGTGCCCCTACAAACAGTGTCTCTGTGCTCATTTGCAGCAGGTCAGGACACTAGCAGAGATAATTTTGTACTAAAAACACTGCTGCTTGATTTGACAAACACAGACTCCTGAAGCATCACACTGGCTTCAAATCTGAACTCATTTTTGCACAAATGCAGGATTTCTCCCACCACCAGCCATCACTTTAATTAAAGGCACATATGAGGGGATTGTTTTGTGTCCAGTATAAACAGGAGGATAAGTTACAGCAAGCAAAAGCTGTTTCTGTGACTACAACTTCAAAAAGCGTTAAGCTGTCCTTTAAATCTAAGTGAAGTCGCTGTAGTTAAATCAGTCGAGTTGCGTCCGTGTTTTGATTCAGTGTAATCCACACCTCCGATCACCTGGAAATGACGGCACCACTTGGATTCTAAGCCGAGCAAAACACATTGGTGACTGGGGGGGGAGCAGGTCGACAAAAAAAACAAAAAAAACAAACACATCCTGTCGACAAACCCAGAAACAGTCAAAAGATGGAGGAGACCCACCCAGACCACTTCAACAGCACAGATGCAGAAAGATCCAAGACAAACTCCCAAAGCCA